ATCAGCAGCAGCCCAAAATGTGCTGTGACGGCACGCCCTACATCCATCCTTGACCAGCGCGGTTGGCAACCCTGTCCGAGAAGGGCAGTGCAAGGACGGCGCTGGCAGGGAGTTTGTTAGCAGCGGCGGCGGCGGCGCCCATCCTTCCGTTCGGCCGCTGACAAAAGGCGCGGTCAGAGGCGCAGCCCGCGGCGCCGTCGCACTGGGAGTTGGCGCCCAACGCCCGCGCACTTGCCAAGCGGCCGCCGGCAGCCGCCGCCGCCGCTTGCATCTCGACCGTGCCGCCTCCGTCGCTGCCCGCCGCCGCCGTCACCCCACCGCCGTCACCGCACCGCCGTCACCGCCACTCGCCACGCTGCCACCGCCACCGCCACGCCACCGCCACCACCACCCCCGTCGCCGCCACGCATACGCCACCGTCACCGCAGCCACTTCCACTTCCACGCCACTGCACTTCCACCGCCACCGGCCGCTGCGCCCTCCACGGCCATTTCCGGTAGTCGCCTCCACCGTCGCAGCTACCGCCACGCCCCACCACCCCACAGCCGCCCGCCGTTCATAACCACTGCCGCGAAAACGCCGTTTCCGCCACCTCCCTCGCGCCGCGACCACCTCCACCGCTACTGCCACCGCCACTGACACTGCCGACGCCCCCACACCCTTCACCGCCGCCGTCGCCGCTGCCGCCACCGCCATCACCACCACCGCCTTCGCCACCGCCGCCACCGCCGCCGCCACCTCCATCGCCGCCACAGCCGCGGCGCCGCGCGGTCGCGCCACAGCCGCAGGTATTCTGAGCGCCTGGGCCGCCCGTTCCGACCCATATCGAAGGCAGAATCCCGTGCGGTCCCCGCGCCACCGCCACTCAGCGCCTCGCGCTCCGCGGGCATTGACAGCCCCGCTTGCCCCCCTCCCCCGCGCCTTCTCCTCACCACATTGCCTTTACGCAGGAGATGTATTTCAAATAGAATAGCGTTTATTAGTATAGCTGTACTGTATTACGCCACGGTATTAGATAACTAAACTGGTGAAATGATTTTTCCACCGAATTATTTCTTACTCCTTCTATAACTAAAAATATGTTCACCACGTTTTGTTAGAACATTGCGTGTTTATGGATGTTTTTTTTAAATATTCGACGAAGCAATAACATTTTATAATATATGTAGTTACTGATTCATTGGATTCCATGTTCTGCCTTTCCAATCCATTGTAATTTTCGTTCTTTTATTGGTGATTTCATTTACAATTTTTTAATATAGTTTATATATTTGAATATATTGAAAGTCAGGATCACTTTAAAAAATATATGAAGTATATACAGCAATCCTATGTTTAAATGAATTTAGTTTCCTGGCTTACATTTTGAAGAACGAATTAAATGTATTTAAGGCAGTAACTTAAAACAAATAGGCTTCGAAATAGATGAGTCAGTGTTTCCAAAAGAAAATTAAAAGCTGAAAATATTCTTTATTCATGTAATTAATTAATTATTAAAAACAATAAAATTAATCAAAATTTCAGAGAGCAGAATAATGGTTGTACGTAAATAAATTCCACATCTATACTATTTGGAGTGGTTGCCCTACTGAACAAACATGTTTGTGAACTCTGCGAAAGGTGTAACACTTTTTGTTATATTTATTGTCAAGTTCTGGCACTTTTCCATCTTCATTATTCAGCACAGGTGTGGCAAGAGCGTTATACATAAGTGACCCGCTGTACAGTTGCCAAATGATTCGTAATTCTCCCCTGGAAAGGAATGGGAAGGAAATACTTTCTAACCATGTTCATTCACAAGAGAGGAATTATACTAATGAAAACTGACAGTATTTTCTATCTACCTTTAGGTTATTCTCAAGTGAAAGTTATCTTACAGGTTGCACCCACTTTATTTTGAGAAACATGTGTATCATTTTTGATTCGGTAGTTGAAATGTAATTTATTTCTTCCAAAATGCTCCGGTTTTATCTTTCTACGGAGTTAATGTTAATAAAACATTTATTTATTAATTAAAGATAATTTTATATTATCGTTGAAACAAATTTTTCGAACATTGACTATGCAACCACTTTTGCTAACATGTTGATGAATGAATGATCTATCATGAATTACTAAAATCTTACGTAAGTGTAAAATACAAAATCTCTTAAATAATGTTTGAAGATTGCAAATTAATTTAAATTAAAGTTGTTTTCAAAAATACAAACTAATTTGTATTTACAATTATGCAATTCGTGGTCACGGCGGAACGGGCAAATCTTAATAATTTTACACCAGAAAATTCCGCGAACAAAACCTAGAAATAAACTTAAGTCCAATTTCATCCTTTGGAATATATAAAGTTGTTTACGTGACTAAGGGCATTGCAATAAACTACAGTATTTGTGTTAATAATAAAAATAATCGTTAAATAACTTTTAACACAATACCAGTAGAATGTTGTTTGTGGCAGGATATAAAAGAAATATTACTTTTAGGTCCAGAAAAACCAAAATAATTCAATAACTAAACGTTTGTACCTTTTTGTACTTGAATTGCCTCATTTACAGATTTTGACAATGACAATGAAAAATACATTGCACTTTTTGTATGTTTTCATTCTCGTAATAGAATATTTTCTTTGTTTAAACGTATTAAATGTATATATAACAGCAAACCGTCTCTTACACTCTGACACTGCAAAGAAAGAGAATTCCCTGGATTAACGTCTCCCTCTTTTCCGGATCTCCGTCAAACACAAGACGCATTACGAGGTAAATTGGCGTTCTTGTGGAGGTGGTCTGCGGCGAGCCGACTACCTGAGCACGGGCCTTAATGGAAGAGCGGGCTGGCCACAGATGGGCGGAGGGGAGCGAAAAGCAGGACGAGGAGGGGGGGCGAGCGCGACCTGTCCGAATCAATCCGCCCCTCCCCCTCGCACCTCTCACCGTGAGGTGCGACCTCCGTCTTCTCCCTCACTCACCCCCCCCCCCCCCGCGTGTTTGCACTCGTGACGTCTCTCGAGTTCCCCCTCCGCCTCGCGGGCCGGCTCCTTCCGCTGACCTCTCGGGCGCCCTCTATCTCGGTCGTTTCCTTCCCCGGTTGCGGCCGGCGGCGCCTTCGCGCGCGGCTCCACGCAACCCGCCGCACAGCGCTGTCTTGCTGGATGCCCCTGAAGCTGCGTTTCTCTTTTAAAACGAACTCGTAATAATAACCACAAACATTTATTGCGTTTTTGTTTTTGCTCGGACGTACATACTACTTTTCCAGTAGAAAGCCTGGTTGTAAAAGTGGATTTTGATGAGAAATAAGACAACAATAAAAAACAATTACTTGCCTTTACTGAACAATAAACGGATTCATGATTCACAAAAGAGTTTCTTCTGAGGAAATTTTTTCTAAATCTCTTTCATCACCCCCATCGTATTGAAGACCATTTCTCGGTTCACATTGTTTCATTTTCATTTATTATAACTAAATAAAAAAACTGACATTTTGTTACAACATACAATAAAATATTTCAATACAAAATTCAGCAACATTGTTAGTTATATTTGTTTACACAACGTCATAAATAAAAATATTTCAAGTCCGCGAAATATGTATCATCTTCCCCTTTCTTTCTATCGTTTGTAATATTTTACATACGTTAAACAATTGACACGAACTTGGAAATTAATTTTAATAGGCAATTAGTATGGGTGTTTTGTTTTGTAACTCTACCATTCAAACAGGTTGTACGGATTTAGTAATATTCAAGGTTTGCGTTGACTCTCGGGAGACATCTCGTGTCTTCATCCCAATCCTGGAGATTTTCTCGAGTGTGCTAATTAGTTACAGAAACGAAGTTATCGGCACGGAAATATACGAAGAAAAATAAAAAAAATAAAAACAGCGAAAAAACGCTAAAGCAAAATGAGGGACAAATTGAAGGAGGTAATACGCTCTTGATTTTTCATTGCCGCGAGCTGCTTGTCAATGCGCGAAGTTCAATTAGCGCGAGTCGGAAAACCGCGGGGGCGCCGTAAATAGAAAATCGCCCGGCTGCAGACGCGGGATCGATCGGCGGTCGCAGTTTGGTCACGTGATGGAGCATCGCGTAAACTTGCCGCGTTCGCAGTGGAACATTTGATGCTGAGCACACTTCGCTTGACGTCGCCCGATGTGGCATACAGACCACACGCTTTTGTGTGAAACATCGGATGGGAAACTGTGGTCGCATACAAAAATGCAACGTTTACGGATTTTGTTAGTATATCATATATACAAACCAAGACCCTAGGATTACTCAACTTTTTATCGACATTTAAACGCGCAGTTTATGCCTGTTCTGTTGAAATATTATTTTGGTTAATACAAATATACATAGTATTCTTGCTACAATATCAGACAGGTTCTGGGTAGACTAGCAGTTTTGTTTATTTTGACAGGAATGGAATGTAAATAACCGTGACATTTTTCAACACTTTAATGTATAAGAATGTTTAAGAAACGTTCTGGTTTATTTTTGGAATAGAATTACTCACAGACTCTGTATTTTCTGTTTATTTTAAAAGACAACCGTTTTTAACGTTTCATCCAATATTTCCATGTAATTGTCATTCTTTGACATTAAGGTGATATTTAGAAACTCAGAACATGCTATATTGTTGTAAAGTAATAGAATACACGATAATATGTAACTTCATCACAATTCACAAAACATATCATCATGGCATTTTTCATTAAATAAATCTAATTACTTAAACCGAATGCTAGTACAATAAATAATAAATTGCACATTCTTCATGTTTTCATTAAACCCCATTCTCTTTTAGCTTTAATCTTGTAGCTGCATGTATTTAACAAATCATTGTATCAGTTATTCGAATCATAACAATAGCAACGTACTAACAGGAATAACAACGCTATTTATTTACTGTGTTTCATTCATCTAGAAATTTAATAATTGTGTCATCCACATACCAATTAAAAGCCGGATGTTTCGAAGGCCTAACGTTTCCTGAATGTGTGCGCAGGGGCATTGGCCTACGCCGAGTTGGGAACCATGAACACGAGTTCTGGCGCTGAATACGCCTACTTCATGGACGCCTTCGGCTCGCTGCCTGCCTTCCTGTTCTCGTGGGTGTCGACGCTGGTGCTGAAGCCGTCGCAGCTGGCCATCATTTGCCTGAGCTTCGCGCAGTACGCAGTGGAGGCCTTCTCCTCGGAGTGCGAGCCTCCCACCCTCGTTGTCAAACTGGTCGCCGTGCTGGCCATCGGTGAGTGCCCCACACTAGCTCTTTCTTTCATTTCCCTCCTTCCTGTCTTTCTTTCCCTCGTCGTCAAACTGGTCGCCGTGCTGGCTATCGGCTAGTGTCCCCCATACTCGCTTTTCCTTGCAATCCCCTCCATCCTTTCTTTCTTTTCTATTTATTTTGATAGTTTTTTTCATTGTATTCCACGTCTCGAGCGGAGAGAACGATGATTCTAGCTCCTGATTCACATCTGCTACTTATTTCTACTCACTTTCTTTTACCTTTCCAATCCTTTTTAATTCATATTGAATGAAGGATGTAAATAGGATTTAATATAACCTTATTTGTCTTCAAAGTATCTCCATTACGAAAGAGACGAAATCATTAATCACTTCTTCATTTACACGGTTTGTTCACTTAATAATACTTTTTTGTTCATTCATTCTCGTTCCAAACATCTCATCTATCCTTAGTATAAGAAGAAGTAATAATGTTTGTTATTTCTGGCTCTTAAGATAAAAATTCGCAGTATTTAGAATATTAGTTTTTCTTCTTAAGTCTTTAGAAGAATTGCTGACAAATGTAATATTACGCTTTTGAATTGTCTGCTCTATATTTGCCCAGTCAATGCCGCATAACCTTAAAAATCATAAAATATTATCTCAGTCTGACTCCAAAGCACCAAACAGTGATAATATGAACATTTTTCTATAACAAGTAGCAATACCATTAGAGGGTTTCCATGGTCATTGCAACATACATGAAAATCATAGTAACGCCAACTTAATGAAATGTTAAAATTTCAGAATCAATTAGTTTAGTTACTTTTAATTAATAGTGAAATGAATGTTCACGTTCCTAACAAATGTATTATACCTCCGAAGTGCGATTCCCAAGGCAATAGCCGCAATACCTCGCTCGGTCTAACGCCGCGCAATTCGCCCCGTCAGCACCCTCGTCTCCCCGTCCCCTCCCCTCCTCGCCCCGC